GCGGGCCATCTTGCAGCCTAACCTTGGACCCTGGATCCTCCTATCTCTATCTCCCTAGTGCTACAATTACAGGCATGTGCCATCATGCCTGCTTTATGTGGTACTGAAACCTGAACCAGGGCTCTGTGCATTCTAGACAAACACTCTCCCAACTCTGCTACACCCCAGGCCAACTTTCCTGTGATTTTGTCAGCAATGTTTTAGTTGTTCGAGGTATAAGTTTTAATTTCCAAACATACACAAGTTGCAAGTTATTTCTTCACTATCCATTCCTCACCCCGGGCTGGAGATACAGCTCAATGGGTAAGAGTGACATTGCCCTTGAAGAGGATCCAAGTTCAGTTCCTGGCAGTCATGTCAGGGCGGCTCAAGACTGCCTGTAATTCCAGCTCTGGGAGAATCCTGCACCTTTGGCCTCCTTGGACACTGGTAACCATGTGCATTTATCCACACACAGGGACCCACATGCATGTATCTAATTAGAAATAATGAAATAAATTTCCATCTCAGTTGTTCTGTGATTTGTGTGGTAATAAAGGAAGTTAATTGAGATCCATTTTAATGGCCTGATACATCTGCAGCTTTAGCATCTGGTGAGGCTGCATGAGATCATTCTGCCAGAAGAAACCCGGAGCCTTTGGCTCTGTCATACTGATTGCTTTGCCTCCATTTTCCAGGTTCCTGATGCTTTGTGTGCTTATGGTGTTTGACTTTTAATTAGCCCCATGACACTTCATTTTAAATTTCTTTCTTGGATGTCATAGAGTGATATATGACATATTTTTCATCCCTTTTTTGCCTTTTAATGTCATTTTATCCTAACCATGTCTCTTAAAAATACTTTATAGCTCTTAAAATTTTACCCAAATAGACAATCTTTTGTTCTCACTGACAAGTGAATGGCGTTTGCATTTTTGTGCATGTTGGTGAGTGTGTTCTTATTAAGTTCTTTACTTGTCCCAATATTTTATGCTTTCTTTTTCTTTTTAAATGGTTGCCCTTTTGGTAAATCTCCCTTGCCCAGTGTCTTCTCCCCGTCTGTGTACCCATTTCGAAATAAGCACCGACCTGCTCTGATCCTTCTGGTAATTGCTTTACAATCTCATCCCACGTATTCAACACAGCGGAACATTACAAATACATATGACTGTCTTCCCTCTTCCAAGAAAGGCCTTGGGAAATCACTGTGCTCCTCACCCCTTCTCTGTCCTGACTTTCACTCTACCATCGACTAACGTTTCAACATTTCCATCCCCATAGATGGTTATTGTGACTTGACTTAAACATCTCTGCATCTGTTCACCACCCTTTGAGCATCCTGGGCTGTTTTCTCCAGGTTACTTTCACTCTCTCAGAAGTAAACTGTCTGAAGACTCCTCTGTGAGGATAAACTGCCTCCAGGCGTGTCTATCTGTGAGTGTTCCTCTGCTCTCATTCTCCAGTGACATTCCTAATGAGCAGTGATTCTAAAGCAATAGCGCCTTCCTCTCAGCATAAAGAATGATTTCCCCTCCTCGTTCCCATGGATGTTGAGGAACTCTGCTCCCAGCTTGGCTAGTGCTCTCCAGGTGTTTCTGAGATGTCACTGCTTTCCCTGCAAAGTTCTGCAACTTTATGCATCTGCATGGGGACATATTAGCTGGACTGGGACACTTCTGCACACTTAACTTGGGATATCTATTCTAGAACACTTGCCAGCATCTTTTTTTTTATTGTTTCGTGTGTGTGTGTGTGTGTGTGTGTGTGTGTGTGTGTGTGTAAGCATGTGCTTGTGATCATGCACGTAGGGGTTAGAGGTTAACACATAGTGTCTTCCTCAGTCATCTCCATTTTATTTGGGGACATTGTCTCCCCTGTCACTGAACCCGGAACCTGCTGATTTGGCTAGACTATCTGGCCAGCAGGCTCCCAGGACCCTCCCGTCTCCGCACACACCCCAGTACTGGGATTATAGGCACAGGAAATTGCAGCGGTGTTTTTCAATGGGGCTGGATATCCTAACCCATATCTCCTTGACAGACTGAGTCATCTCCCCGCACCACAACATCTCTTTAATCATTGTCCTCTCCACAGCTCGCCCTTCTTCCCCCTGTGCTTCCAGCAGGGTATTTACTAGAGCTCCTCATTCTAGAATCAACCACACTCTGGCCAATCTTTCAAATGTTGAGTTTCCTCTTTCCCTATTTAATTTTCTCATCCGGATATTTCTTTGAATCTGAACTTTTTCATTTTTAAAAGTTCCATAATTTTAAAACCATTTCTCCTTCTTCTTCCTCCTCTTCCTCTTCTTCACAGGGTCTCACCGTGGAGCCCTGGCTGTCTGGCCTCAACTCATAGAGCTCCCCCAATGACCTAACTTCCGCCCATCAAGCCCCCACTTCAAGATTCCCCTCAGGACACCACGAGCTAGGGACCAGGCCCTTAGTACAGGAGCACTTGGGGACATTTCAGATCTGCATGATGTCACATACCCAGTCTGTATTGTGTATTTGGTGGTTCCACCCTCTATAACTCTTGGGAACATAAGTCCAGTGGCCTTGATCTCACCACCACTCACACTTGCCTCTTGTAGCTTTGGTCATCTTCACCAGAGCTGCTTGTATTC